TCTCCGCACTTCAGTTATATCAGAGTTTGTCAATCAAGATTGGATGAAATATTTACCCTATTATTTATAAAATTGAATTTCACGATTATTGTGCTTTTTCCTAAACATTTAGAAATCTTTCTTTAATATGAAAACGCCGGCCATATGATGTGGAATATTTTTATTTAAAATGTTAGCTCCGCAGAAACGCACAGGGACTTAAAACTTTCATATCATATAACCGACCGCCTCCTGGCGGCTGGTAATTACATGGACGGATAATAATCTCTATCAAAGATCGTCGAAAATGAAACATATAGACTACAGAGAGCAGGGGTTGTTAGAGATACAAACTATGATCAAATGTCTAAAGATAACATTAAAGATTTCTGTGCAAACATACATGTAAATTAAATATCTCATATAACATCTACAGAAAATTTTAGAGAACAACTTAAAAAGATTGAGAACTCTTGGAAAATGAAAATGTGGCATGATCATTCGGATATCCTATATCATTCTTACGTAAGCTTCGTGACATGTTTCTTGTACGATCCGATGAATTTTATAACTGACCAAGAATTCAAGACAAGATATCCAGAGAAAAAGCCAGTCAATATTCAGTCACTGGTAGAGAGGCCACGTTACATTTTCGGACTATCAGGTAACCCTTAACTTTGGAGGGCCTGACCATCGCACCACACTTAAAAGTGTTCAGATGTCATGTCTACTAAAATGTATTGCTTTGGATTTAGACATGTTGGTAGCAGCCCGTACTGCACCAGCGGAAAGTTACCACAGCCCTGCTGAACGTGTCATTAATACACTAAATCTAGGATTACAGAATGTGGCCCTAGAAAGAACAAAATTGCGAGCAGAGTTTGAAATGCATGCAAAGTCTCTAAACAGTTTAAAAGCTGTCCGTACTGCTGCACAGAAAAATGAAGTACTAAAGACAGCATTTTCAGAGTCAATAAAGGATCCATTATCTATTGTAAAAGAAAGATTTCAAAAACTGAAGTGGACAGGGAAAAAATCAGTGTTACATGAGGTAGCTTCAGAGGATGGTTGATTGTATGTTGTTTAACGTCCTTCTTGAGAATTTTTCACTCAAATGGAAAACGTCACCATATGCCGGTGAAGGGCTTTTAATTTAGACCTATACTCGGCACTCAGGGCCATTAGGCAGTGAGGGTTCTCTATCGTGCCAGCGCCTACCATGACTCGGGACTTACGTTTTTAAGGTCACCCGAAACACCCGTGACTTTCACTTCTAGTGCCGAGCGCTTGGCGAAGGAACAGTCACTACCTTTGTTTACATCTTAGGTATGACGCGGCGCCAACGAACGAGAATCGAACCCGGGCCTCCCGATCACGAAGCGAACGCTCTACCACTAGGCTACCGTGACCGGTTTGTTCTGTTTGATTATTGATACATATTAAAAAAACGTTTTTCATAATCGTAAAGAATATGTTTTTTCATAATTTCGTTGACAACAAAATTCATGATGTACTCCGAGCGTTTTCAACATAGGGTAAGAACTTTGTCATTTCAAGGAGTTGACTGAGGTATGACCATAAGGATGAACAAAAATATTTTTTTTTCATTAAGCAAATATATTTATAGAAAAAATATAATTATTTTGTTTCCGCCGGACTTTAAACGAACTTGGTTCAGAGCTAGATAAAATCTGTCCTTTCATGTAAAAAAAAAAATGATTTAAGATTTTCATCAAAGCAACTTACTGTGAGGCACCATTTAAATATTTTTGAGGTATTTCTAATATCAACAAAGAAGTTCTTGATATCAATAATTAGAATTCTTGATATCCGAAAATTTGTGATATCAAAATCTAAAATTTGTCATATCAGAAAATCTTTTTTGATATCAAGAATTCGAATTTCTGATATCAAGAAATCACAGTACGATATCAAAAAATCTTCTTTTTTTTAGCTCACCCGAGCCGATGGCTCAAGTGAGCTTTTCTGTTCAAAATATGTCCCGCTGTCTGTTGTTGTTGTAAACTTTTCACATTTCAATCTTCTTCTCAAGAACAACTGGGCCAGTTTTACATTGAAATATATAGGAAAACCTTTTTAAATCTTCTTTTCAAGTACTTCAAAGCCAGGATTAGTAATATTTGTATGAAATCATTCTCAGGTAATATAGATTCTTGTTCGTTCAAATAATGATCCCCTTGGGAGGTAAAAATCCAACCACCAACTTTAATTAACCTTCAGTTCTGATCTGATATGTTTTTTCTTAGCTGATTTGCTCACGTTAGCGCTGTGGCCCCTGGGCCTCTTGTTTTTAATTTTATTTTTCATTTCAAACACTGAATTGACCACGGATTTTTCCCATTATTTCCTGATTATGACAATGAGCACACAACGGGTGTGAATGGTCGGCAGGGGATGCTCACTCCTCCATGGCACCTGATCCCACCTCTAATGTTTCGGAGGTCCCTGTTTGCTCTACGCTTATTTTGTATAATTGTTTAATAGACGTTGAGATTGGATACTGTTCGTTATTTCCATATTCTTCTTTATATGAAAAAAGTAATTTTTGATTCTTGGTATAAAATATTCTAATTCTTGATATCCAAAAATATAAGTCATTCATTGTTTGATTTGATATCACAAATTTAAATTTCTTATATTAATTTTTTTTTTCCTGTTTCAAAAGTTTGAATTTTTCCTATCAGAAAATGTTTTTTTTTTTTGATAAATAGAATTCAAAATAAATGATATCAAGAATTCCTTTTTTGATATCAGAAAGGTCTCAAAAGTACATAAACGGGACATCATAGAAATCAATTCTTTGATATCAAAATTTCGAATTTTTTATTCAAAAATTACGTTTTAGATATCATAAGCCCCGAGGATTTTCCATATCGAAAATTGATTTCTGATATCCTTAAATTAATTTTTGATATAAAGGACAATCACTTAAACTACTGATATCACAATATGGTTTTTTGAAGAAAAAATACATTTAAAATTAAAAAACGACGCCTAATACTTCCCTGCTTTGATAATGGTCAGGTAAGAATGCTCTTGTGCATACAATGTGAATTTTTATTATTATACGCTCGGTTTCACTGATTTTCACTTCACGCTTTAAAAATCTTTTGTAAGAAGCTGTCTGATTTATTTACATGATCAGACCCTGTCGGTTTTTCCTACTTTCCTTGAAATAATGCTTGAGATGATTAATTTTAACTCTTTACAATATTGGTGATAGACAAAAAACGTCGGAATACCGAACCATCGGACTCTTGGGTTGTCGGACTACTGGATTTTCGGACTAGTAGGTTATCGGACTACTGCATTGTTTGACTCTCGGACCTTCGTGCTATTGGTTGTCGGACCGTCGGACTACTGGGTTGTCGGACTACTGCGTTGTCGGACTATCGGACGGACGGAAAACTGGGTTGTCAGATTACCGGACCGGACTACTGCGTCGGAATACTTGGCATACTTTATTGGAGCAGAGTCAGTTTGCGTTGTCTTTTATACAGCAATGAAAAAATTTGTTGTACTGGATAGTGATGACCTTCATAATGTGCTCCAGTATTTGCTGATTTCTGATTCGATTAGAAAGAGTCGTAAAAGCCCATCAAGGCGTAAATTATGATTTTGTGCAACAAGTTTTGAATTAAGATTGAATATGACAATTTTAGTTAAATTTTCATAAAGCCGAAAACCTTTGTTCTGTATGTATAGATATACATTCTATTTGAAGTATTTCAAGACTGAAAACTACTTTAGAATAAATTTCAAATCCATCAACAGCATATGTTCGGAAGACAGTGACAGTTCAGACGAGGGGAGAGATGGTCCAGGAACTTTTAACCAGCTAAAGAGGACCCACCCTCACCCCACCAGAATCCAATGGATTGGTAAGGAACAAAACATATCTTCCAGGTGGAGGGCTGTATATAAAATTTCGTAATTTTCTATGTAAATTAGGCGGCCATTGTCGAATCTCCGCAAGATTTTACCCCAGTGAAAAAGGTTTGTAATCCACCTTATAGGTCATTTTAAATAGTTTCACATTGTTTATAATTGTGATTATGTTATCCCTCACCTATATGTTTAATGTCAGCTATGCTAAATAACCCAGTTCTGTGTAATTTGAGAGAATGTTTTGTCATGTGCTGAAAGTATGGCCTGCTATTTATGTCATCATTTAAATTCTATCCCAAATAAATCTGTCTTTCAAAAATACATTTTTACAAATGACATTTAATATGATTAGAGTATAGGAATCCATATATATAATGGGTTTTATTTTTTATATACAGCCCTCCACCTGGAAGATATGTTTTGTTCCTTACCAATCCATTCTCTAAGTGAAGTGAAGCCTGGCTGCTGGTCTTCCTTTGGGGAAATACACAGTGAATCAATTATGATAAAAAACTAAACTTGAATCTAAAAGTTTTCAATGATATATCATTTTAATTTATTTTATGGCTTACTTGGTTAAAATAGACATTTTCAAGAAAATCAAAATATCATTTCTGATGGTGGGTCACACCCACGAAGATATTGATCAGGTTTTTTCCAAGTATGTATCCAAAAAAATATTTAAAATATTTCAACACATTAATTTCATTCGATATTTAACTAGAGAGTAGTGTTTGAATATATACTGAAGAATACTCGAATTGAATCAAGGTTTTACCAGTTTATGCATGTATACAGGTACATAACCACATGCTTCCACTCTGACGGTCCATGCACGCACAACTCATGCCGGATACACACTGACACCTGACCCACACTACGAACCATAACTCTAGCACACAATCTCTTACACACAAGTGACACAATACAAATTAGAGTAACTTCCCTTAACACTACAATACCCCCTTTTCTAAGAATAAACTTTTACACTTCTCAAAATAAATAAATTACTGAAAGAAATTATTGTCCAACATATTATTAATAGAAAACATTTACAATTTACAGTCCAGATAAAGAAAACTTTCAGTCATTAACATTCACACAGAAATATTTCACAGTTCAAAGTCCTTAAGGCGTTGCGGTAGTTTCCTTATACGGGTTGACCTTCTAACGCTCGGAGTTACTGGAGCCGCGGATGGAACATCATCACTATTAGCACTAGACTCAACACTCGGTTCACTAAGATCACTCAGACTCTCTGGAATATCGGACACACTTTCCGGTTCCTGATATTTTTTCACGAATTCACTATTTCGCTTCACTAACACTCCCTCCGGCGATTTTACGACACAACTGTTTCCCGTTTTCTGTACAAGTTGATAAGGCACAGCATGATACGGTGTATCCATTTTGTCCTTGACCGCTTTCTTCAAGAGGACCGAATCTCCTAGCTCTAAATCACAATCCACTGCACCACGTTTCTCGTCGATGTAAAGCTTGTTCCTGTATTTAGAATACGCATCCTTATCGCGCACTCCCTCATCATAGTCGTGTTCTTGTAGATTTTCCACTTGCGGTAGCTTTGTTCTCAGCTTCCGACGGAACACCAACTCGGCAGGTGGTACTCCTGTCGTAGTATGAGGAATCGTTCTGTATGCAAATAGATATTTTCGGATTTCGGTCTTCCAATTCTTAGACTCGGCTTGTGCAATCCGAATTCTTTTCATCAGCGATCTGTTTTGTCGTTCTACCTCTCCATTAGCTGACGGATGTAACGGCGTAACTGCTCGGTGCTTGATACAGTTATCTGTCAAGTAATCCTTGAATAACTTAGATCTGAACTGGGGTCCATTATCAGAAGTTATTTGTAATGGAAGTCCGTGTCGACAAAACATTCCCTCCAGTGAATCAATGATTTTCTCACTTGTAATATCCTTGGTAACTTCAATCTCGTAGTATCTGCTGTAATAATCAACAACCACTAACACGTACTGTCCAGATGTTAATGGTCCAAGAATATCAATACCTAATTCTTGCCATGGCCCTGTTGGTAATGGAGTAGGACTAATTGGTTCCGGTTTCGGAAACGCACTGGTAATCTGACATCCGTGACACGATTTCACATACTTCTCCACTTCTTTGTCCATCCCAGGCCACCACACTTTAGTACGTAACTGCTGTTTCGTCCCAACAATTCCTATATGACCCTGGTGAGCTAACTGTACACACTGCATTTTTCGACCCCCATTTAACCCCCTGGGGTAAAATCAAAATTCCAAAACCTTACTGCACATCTACAAGACACCACCAATCATTCCCCAAAGGGTGATTAGGCTGCTGAGTAAAATGTAGAAGGAGTTCAGGGAAGAAGGGGCTTTTTGAGCAAAAAACGTCATTTTTCGACCCATTTTTAACCCCCTGGGGCAAAATCAAAATTCCAAAACCTTACTGCACATCTACAAGACACCACCAATCATTCCCCAAAGGGTGATTAGGCTGCTGAGTAAAATGTAGAAGGAGTTCAGGGAAGAAGGGGCTTTTTGAGCAAAAAACGTCATTTTTCGACCCCCATTTGACCGTCCGGGGCAAAATCAAAATTCCGAAACCTTACTGCACATCTACATGACACCACCAACCATCTCCTTAAAGATTATTAGGCTGCTGAGTAAAATGTAGAAGGAGTTCAGGGAAGAAGGGGCTTTTTGAGCCAAAAACGTCATTTTTCGACCCCCATTTAACCCCCTGGGGCAAAATCGAAATTCCGAAACCTTACTGCACATCTACATGACACCACCAACCATTTCCTAAAAAATGAGTAAGCTACTGTGTAAAATGTAGGAGGAGTTCAGGGAAGAAAAGTGTGACAGACGGACGGACGGACGGACATGAGTAACAACAATATACCCGAACTTTCTTTAGAAAGTGCGGGTATAAAAATGACAGGCACTGTTCCCCATCTCCCATTCAGTAAGCAACACAGGTGTCATGTAGCAATGAAGCCATCTTCAGGAAACTGGAAACAACACTGTCAGATGTTTTTACCGATTCCCTCAAAACAACAACAGATGCAACCAAATCAAGCACCAATGCCCTTCACACTGCCACAAGAGCAATCTTCCACACTTCGCCTAATACAGCTTTTCACTCATTCATCAGTGCCTCTCGCAGCCATCCTCAGCACTTCCATGATGGAGTTTCTGTAGACAAAGCATGAGGACCCGCAAAGAGGATGACGGAAGAAGAATTGTAGATAAAGTCTTTCTTATCAAAATACTTGTCTCTTGATGAAATCTGTAATAATGATAAGTCTTCTGTTTCCTAGAGGGATCACTATATTATTTTGCCAAAAAGCATTTTTATATTGCAAGATTAACTTTCTTATTTTATATATAATTCCTTCTGCGGAAGTTTTGTATATCTTGAGAGGAATACGGAGAGCTGATGTCCAGCATTTCATCGCCAAGGTCGTTCATCATTTTGATTCAGCCAGCTGTTAGCATGTTGGAATAATTGCTTTGAGGTAGTTATGATGTGTCTCATTTTACATGTATATATATACCTAAAGCACTTTATTGACAATCATACATTTTGCTACTGAGCTTATTTTATTAACAGATGCCTGACAAAAACACATAGGTACCAAATACTAGTAAGCCTTCTAACAGAAGATCTCCAAACACATGAGACACTCTCTTATCAAAAGTCTCTCTTGAAGAAGTCACCCAGAAAACATGCAGCTACTACTACCAATCCTTACATAATTTCATCACCTGGAGTATCTACTGAGGTGAGATAATTATTAAAAAGGAAAAAATATATAGAAAAAACTAGGAGACTTATTGTTCACAGAACAATAAGAGGTCTTTCCACCTTCTTTGATTTTTTCAACTTTGTTTTATATCTAACTCTTTAAAATTATATTCCATGAACAAAAACAAAAACAAAAGTGGCTTAAAAGATAGAAAAAAAAAATTGAAAAAAGAATTGGAATGACCTTGACCTGTGACCTTGAAAAAATTTCAAGGTCAAAGGTCAAAGGTCACAATGCAGTTGACCCCATATATTCTACCTCTTATAGTTTTTAAGTTATAAAGTTAAATAATAAGTACGTAGATGTTAAAGGGCGATAATTCATATAAGGGGTAATCAGATCCTTTACTTTTTATACAGAGAAGTTAGGCCTAAAGACCCTTAAGACATTAGTGAAGGTTTGGTGTCTCTACGGTCTACAGTTTTGTAGTAATAGCAATAACAAAGTTTTTCACAAAAGGGGCGATAACTTTTAAAAGGTTTAATTTTAGGGGACAAGAGTGAAATCTTTGAAACAGTTTTAAGAGTTCATATTGATGATGCATAGACATTAAGTATATGTTAAAAGACAAAAGAGATACAAAAAGAGCTTAATTTCTCAATTTTGGAATGACCTTGACCTTTGACCTTTACAAGAATTATAAGGTCAAAGGTCAATGAATCTTATGCAGTTGGTCCCATGTCTCTACGACTTCTCGTTTTTAAAATTTTTTAATTATTTGTAAAATTCAAAAAGTTTCAGGGGCAATAACTCATTGAAGGGGTTAGCGAATGCTTTCGCAATGAATAGATTGAAGAGTCCCCTTAATTAGTCGAAGACATTGGTGAAGGTTTCATACCTCTGCGGTTTACGGTTTCTAAGGAGTAGCGATAACAAGCTTTTCTTGCGAAAGGGGTCGTAACTCCGAAAGGGGTCAAGGTTCATTTACGCAGGGTGAACTGCAATAATCTTTTATGGAGTACATTCTTATGGACTATAAATCTTTTCGATAAATCTTCAAACAAAAAAACATGCGGCGGAAAAATAATAAAAAAAAAAAGAATAATAACTAGTAGACTTATTGTTCACAGAACAATAAGAGGTCTTTCCACCTTCCACCGCGATAACAAGGTTTTCCGCACAAAGGGCAATAACTTTTAATAGGGTCAATCTTACGGAATACGAATTGAATCTTTCAAATAGTTTTAAGAGTACATATTAATGATGCTAAGACAGTTTCTTTATGTTAAGAGACAAAAAAGATATAAAAAGAACTTAATTTCTCAATTTTGGAATGACCTTGACCTTTAACCTTTACATGAATTTTAACCTCAAAGGTAAATAAATTTTATGCAGTTGGTCCCATGTCTCTATCACTTCTTGTTTTGAAAATTTTTAATTATTTCTAAAATTCAAGAAGTTTCAGGGGCAATAACTCATTGAAGAAGTCAACGAAAACTTTTGCAATGAATAGATTCCAGAATCCTCTCAACTAGTCGAAGTCTTTAGTGAAGGTTTCATATTTGTACAGTTTATGGTTTCGCAATAGAAGCGATAACACGGTTTTCGCACAAAGGGCGAAACTATTTAATAGAGTCAATCTTAGGGAATACAAATTGAATGTTTAAAATAGTTTTAAGAGTACATATTAATGATGCAAAGCCAGTTTGTATATGTTAAGAGACAAAAAAATACATAAAGAGCTCAATTTCTCAATTTTGGAATGACCTTGACCTTTAACCTTTACATGAATTTTAAGCTCAAAGCTCAATGAATCTTATGCAGTTGTTCCCATGTCTCTATCACTTCTCGTTTTGAAAATTTTAAATAATTTCTAAAATTCAAGAAGTTTCAGGGGCAATAACTCATTGAAGGAGTCACCGAATACTTTCGCTATGAATAGATTCCAGAGTCCTCTCAATTAGTCGAAGACTTTATTGAAGGTTTCATATTTCTACGGTTTACGGTTTCGAAGGAGTAGCGGTAACAAGCATTTCTTGCGAAAGGGGCAATAACTTTTAAAAGGGTCAATCTAACGGAATACGAATTGAATCTTTAATATAGTTTTAAGAGTACATATTATTGATGCTAAGACAGTTTGTATATGTAAACAGACAAAAAAGATATAAAAAGAGCTCAATTTCTCAGTTTTAGAATGACCTTGACCTTTGACCTTTACATGAATTTGAAGGTCAAAGGTCAATGAATCTTATGCAGTTGGTCTCATGTCTCTACGACTTGTCATTTTGAAAATTTTTAATTATTTCTAAAGTTCAAAAAGTTTCAGGGGCAATAACTCATTGAAGGGGTCACCAAATACTTTCACAATGAATAGATTGAAAAGTCCCCTTAATTAGTCGAAGACATTGGTGAAGGTTTCATACCTCTACGGTTTACAGTTTCAGAGGAGTAGCGATAACAAGGTTTTTCGCGCAAGGGGCAATAACTTTTAAAGGGATTATTGTTAAGGGACAAGAATGAAATCTTTGAAATAGTTTTAAGAGTACATATCAATGATGCATAGACATTAAGTATATGTTAAAAGACAAAGGAGATATAAAAAGAGCTTAATTTCTCATTTTTGGAATGACCTTGACCTTTGACCTTTACATGAATTAAAAGGTCAAAGGTCCATAAATCTTATGAAGTTGGTCCCATGTCTCTACGACTTGTCGTTTTGAAAATTTTTAATTAAAAGTAAAATTCAAAAAGTTTCAGGGGCAATAACTCATTGAAGGGGTCACCAAATACTTTCACAATGAATAGATTGAAAAGTCCCCTTAAATAGTCGAAGACATTGGTGAAGGTTTCATAACTCTACGGTTTACGGTTTCAGAGGAGTAGCGATAACAAGCATTTCTTGCGAAAGGGGCAATAACTCCGAAAGGGGTCATTGTTCACATTCGCAGGGTCAACTGCAAAAATCTTTTAAGGAGTACATTCTTATGGATAAAAAATCTTTTCGATAAATCTTGAAACAAAAAATCACACGGCGGAAAAATAATAAAAATAACTAGGAGACTTATTGTTCAAAGAACAATAAGAGGTCTTTCCAGCTTTTTAAGTGTTTCCGTGTCATTTGGGTTGAAAAAAAGAAGAAAAACGCGAATTAAAAAAAAAAAAAAAAAAAAAAAAATTAAAAAGTGCTGTCAGCAGGATTCGAACTGTGGACCCTCAGATTGCAAGGCGAACGCTCTATGCACTACGCCACAGGCTCCGATGAAGTTGGTTTCCGTAAACTAACAGTGTAGAAAAAAAGAAGAAATGAAAACACGTGGATTTAAATAAAAATAGAAACGCGTGAAGTTTTAAATAGTACAGAAACACGTGTATTTATTTGTTTGTGATGGAACATAGGGAGGAATAATGAATAGTTCTAAGAAAAACGATTGGTGGATATTGAAAATGGAGATTTCCTGTAAAAAAAAAAACATTCGAGCTTGT